GACACGCATCTCCCATACTCTCGATACCAGGCCTCTTCGTCTTCCTACCCTACCACGCGTCATTGGCGCAGTTCTTAAAATATGAGGAATCAAAATCCGCCGACCTTGTCGGCGTGTGTGAGGGGTTTCCTCGTTCGACTCGGGCTTCTCCGTCGAGTCGTCGTCTCCGTCGTCCTCCGCTCTGTCTCTCTGGGCCCTCCTCCTCAAGCGCGCCATCCAGAGCGAAATTGAGCAACGTTGGAATGGAGTCGAAGGGAAGCCCCTTGCCTTTGATCCTTTCCCCGCGGGGGGGGGGGTCCCCAGGGGGTCCCGGGGGGGTCGCCATCCAGATACGCTTCCCCCAGCGCTGCTCGGGCAGGGTGTTTCGGAGCCGCCGTGGATACTTGCCCCAGGTGTGTTTTACCTCGTTTGCTCATTGGGCACATGCTTCCGTCGTGTAAAAGGGTTGGTCTCGGAACTCGGAGCACCCCGCGAAACAGTCATGGGAGGGCTCCTCGCACGCCGCGTTGTCACTCTATCTGAATACCACCAGTTGCATGATCGTCAAGAAGAGCGCGCATCGGACCCTTTCCTGCTAGGCCGCAGGGAATGCGCCCGTAAGATGAGAGGTCACGTTCCAAGGGATCGAAGACGGGTTCGCCCAAAACCGTTTCGTTGACCCTCGGAGCGCCGGCAACTCAGTCACCAGGACCTCCATTGCCTCAACGCTCTTCTCTGCCTGTGCACACCAAGGCTTTGGCGACACAATCACCATGAGCTCGAAACCATTAACCGACACCGTAAATGCCAACGCTGTGTCGAGCAACCGTACGACATTCGCGGTTATCCCCACAGACGGGCGCAACGAAGGCGTAAGGTCCGCGAGCTTCGTCAACACAGTCAGCGAAAGCCCAGAAAGGATCTCCGAAAGAGCTGGAGCGTAGCCGGGGTCCTGAAAGGTCTCGTTCGCGTACGCGTGGTGGTACTGGCTACGCACGCTCCCCACCACGGGCCCTGGAGGCGGAAAGGGCGGCTGCCCCGAAGGTGAACAGGTAGAACCGCACGAACGCGATGAAGGCGGACGACCAGCGAAGTGGACAGCTAACTGTACGAATGCGCTGAAGGCGATGGAGAACCGGAGCCTGTGCCATCGATGCGAGGCGAGAGCGAAAAGCCATTGCGGCCGTGGCATTGGAGCCGAAGCTCCGCTACCAACCAGAGAAGTGGATGTCAGGGGTGAATATGGAAGCGGACTCTTCTCTGGTGGATGGAATAAACTGGGCATGGTGCGCGGATCAGGCCTTGAGCCAAAACACCGCCGGGTCCAGGCAAGAAAGTGGTGGCATGGGCAGAGCGGGTACCGTTCGAGCAGGGGGCGAGAGAGGAGGAGGAGGAGGAGGAGGAGGAGGAGGAGGAGGAGGAGGAGAAGGAGGAAAAGGAGGAGGAGGAGAAGGGGGAAGAGAAGGAGGAGGAGGTAGGAGGACGACGATGACGAGTAGGAGGAAGGGGGGAGAGGGAGGAGGGGAGGAGGAGGAGGATGAGGAGGAGGGAGGAGGAGGAAGAGGAGGAGGAACACTAGGAGGAAAGGGGAAGAAAGTGAAGGGCGAGGCGACCCCTCGGACCAGCCTGCAGCGCCCGGTTCCGCTTGGTGAGTTTCACGAGCTGCGTCTTGAGCTCCGTGGTCGGGTCGCCTGGGCCGACGCCCTCGCTCCTGCTGGGCGCACGCTGAGAAATTGGAGTGCAGAGATCGGGGGGAAGGAGGAGGAGGAGGAATAGGAATAGGAGGAGGAGGGGAGGGGGGGGGGGAGAAGGAGGTGGAGAGGAAGAAGGGAAAATGAGAGGGGGAGAATGAGGAAGGCAGGAGGAGCGGGTGGCAGGATGGAGGAGGAAGGAGGAGGAGGAGGAAGGAAGAGGAGGAGAGAGGAGGATGAGAGGAGGAGGAGGAGGAGGAGGGGGAGAGGAGGAGGATAGGAGGAGGAGGAGGAGGAGTGAGGAGAGGAGGACGAGGAGGAGGATACGACGCTGGCTGGCGGACGCCGCGCTCCGAGGTCAAGCCACGGACGCCAGGCGTGCACAGGCGAAGGGGTAGCCCAAGCAGCCACCCGAGGTGCCAAGAAAGACGGTGGCCCCCACCCGACAGCCAGGATCTCGGAGCCCCGCAGGCACCAAAGAGAGAGGACAGGGAAGCAAGAGAATGAAGGTCCGCGGGGAGCACACCAGCAAGGGTGCTCCACTCTCGCGAACCTAATCCCCGTCCTCGAGTCGATATTGTGAAGATCGGCTCGCTAGGAGCCTGACCCAAAACGTTTATGGGCCGGCAACATGAAGGGGACAAGGCGCAGGGATCCTACGAGAATCCTGTCTGCCCTCGTCCGCAGGGTGATACCCTGCCCAAAACTGCGTTCGGTTCCGAAAGGCACGTTCCGAAAGTCTACAAGTAGGGTGAGTGGACGGGCATCCTACCGACAAGTGTCGTGCCGTGCCAGTGGTGAAAATCCTCCTCCTCCTCCTCCTCCTCCTC